CTGAGGATAGTAGTGCAGGCTAGGAGAGTTAGCCGGTGGTGCAGGCCCAGGGAATCAGCGAGAGGTGAGGGCGGGGCCAGGACCAGAAGTGGTGCTCCTGGAGCCCAAGAAAGGGACTGGGTTGCTCTGGGTGAGAAGGGTCAGGGAGCAGTATTGGTTCCCCAGGTGTCTGGGGCCCCAAGACTAGGAATGGCGCAGGGCTCAAACTAGGAGTATCAACACAGTAACTTTTATTCCTGATGGTCTCTGAGCCACAGAAGAAGGCTTTTCAGAAGACCTACATCTACATTAATTAGCATTTTGGAAGGTCATTATTTAGCCGTTAGAAAATATTCAACTTTTTTTGGTGGTGCTCAGGATTGAAGGTAAACACCCGTGTCTGGGGCCCCAAGACTAGGAATGGCGCAGGGCTCAAACTAGGAGTATCAACACAGTAACTTTTATTCCTGATGGTCTCTGAGCCACAGAAGAAGGCTTTTCAGAAGACCTACATCTACATTAATTAGCATTTTGGAAGGTCATTATTTAGCCGTTAGAAAATATTCAACTTTTTTTGGTGGTGCTCAGGATTGAAGGTAAACACCCTACCACAGAGCTACATCCCCTGCCCAAATTTCAACTCTTCAGTACCCATCTGTCCACTCTTGGAAAAGCTGAATTATCTCCTGTGATATGATTTCATATAAAACTTTAGAAGATGTGAATTTCATCTAAATAATTTTTTAGTTCTTTCAAAAAGCGAAATTCTAAGTACTCATAGTAAAATATAAAAGATCACAAGAGAGAGATTCATTTTCTATCACTTCATGTGACTGTGGAGTCTATTTTCCTTCTGTGTTTCAGTCCTGCAAAGCCCACAGTCAATCCAGATGCAACAGCTCAAGTGCTTCCTCATTAGTTTCCTATTTTTCTCTCAGTTAAAATTTCCATATGCTGAGACATCTTACCAAATGTTGATATAATTATCTGATTAAAAATCAGAGACAAGATGATTGATTAATAGAATTCACATATTGATTATGAAATGAAAGAGGACCTTCCAGCTACTAGAAAGAGGACATGGGATAATTTTGAGTAGGAAACCCTCCTGACCCTTACACCGCCCCTAGAATCCTCCATTCTAAAAATATATTATAAGGCCAGGCGTGGTTCTCAGGAGGGAGAGGCAGGCGGTTCTCTGTGAGATTGAGGCCAGCCTGGTCTACATAGTGAGTTCCAGGCCAGCTGAGGCTACAGGGAGACCCTGTCTCAAAAAGATGAAAATAATTAATTAATTAATTAATTCCAACTGTTCTTTTTGCATATAACCAGCATACAAAATAAGAGAGTGTCTGTTCCATTCTAGACACCTTTTGGAATGATTGGATATGAGTGTTTTGTTTGATTTTTAAGCTTTTTTAAAGTTTCCATATCAATTTAAATCAGAAAAGTTGAAATATTGTCTGTATTTCTTTTTTTACAAAGTGTGATCTCTGTATTATTGAGATATTTCAAATGGAGAAGGTGGTTTGAAAGAGGAGTTGGTTTGAAATTAAAGTGTTTTTTTTTTTTCTTCTTTTAGAATGGAAGAATCTGATGACATTTGGAAGCTTTACATATGTGGTTCGCAACAATCACCCACACATCTATACTCTAAGTCAAGTCAAGTTGTACTCTACGAATGTCCAGAAAGAAGGCCAGGGATCGCAAACTCCAAGAGGTGAAAAAATTCCATCATTTAATCAAACAGGTATGTATAGACTTAAAGCTTTAAAATTTTTTCTTATATGTTGGAATAGTTTGTGTAAAATTACTTGTTCCTTGAGCCAGGGGCTCCTCCCAATTCTGACCTCCACAGGTATTGCATGACATGGGTTCACTTACCTACATGCAGGCAATACATGCATACACATAAAAATGCCTTCAACACCCAAAAGGAAAGTATAACCAAAGATTAAATGGGCCAACATTATTTCATAAGAGTCCATATGTATAGTTAAAGGCTACATAACAAGCAACAATGCCAGACAGCCGATACCTTCTTTTGAGTTGTTGGCCGGGGTGGCCAAAGTGATTCCCAGATAGTAACCCAGCTCAGAACTGGGAACATGCACAGCAGACCCCAATCTTATCCAAAGGAATATTGACAACTGATTACCGTGAGATGAGGAACAGCTGACCCTCCTAAAACAAAGACCTCTAGATAGGCTGACTAGATTCACCAGAAGCGCAAGTAGTGGGGAATGGCTGGGGGTGCCGACAACACAGCAGACACTAGCAGGGATATCAGAGTATAAGGGCTCTAGTGGGGGAGGGAGGGCCAGGGTGCTGACAATACAGCAGAAAGTAGCAGGGATATCAGAGTATAAGGGCTATAGTGGGGGGAGGGAGGCTATGGGAGGGTGCTACCTGGGAAGTAGGTGTATAAATAAATTTAAAAAGAAGAAACAATAGTAATTCTTCAAAGCATAAAAATTTGCTCCTTAATAATTAGTAGATGTGACAAACATTACCATTGAAATCTACCTGATGACTTTATATCCATGCTCAGATGCCAAGGAACTCAGAAAGTAACCGACTGTGACTAGTAATAATCAGATATATAGAGATTAGAAACACATGTGCATCTTAGTGTCAGTTGTATTAAAAATGAATTTTTCTGTATGAAAGTGTATTTTAATAATGAAATGGAGGTCTTTTTTAAAGATCTCATTTAATTTTATATCTTATAGGGTTTATACAGAGTACAATATTGTATAACTGTATTAATTCAACTATAAACCTAAAAATTTACAGCCAGTTTTGAAAGAGATGCATCTTAGCTCTGGAAATGATTATTGAATATGTCAATGCTGTTGTAATGAAATCCTTCTTCTAATTATATGGTTATTAAATAAATAATTTTTTTCAAAATCAGCATTATTTACCCAGGGAAATACAAATCACACTCATTGTGAGGTATCTATATACTATATACCTATACCTTAGAATGATTAAAAATTTAAATAATGATAAAAAAAATTACTTGTTCCTTGAATGATAGAGCTTATAAAAGTATCTGGACCAGTGTGTATATGTGTGTGTGTGCAGCAAACAAGAGACTGTCTCCAGGTGGATATCAGTGCCCAACACTTGAGGTTATCCCACATTTATGAACCCTTCTGACACATATGCATCTGCATTCACACATTCAAACATCCGTAAACACAAACACACACTAATTTCAATTTATTGGCATAAAGTTTGTAATCTCTATTCTCAGTTACATATGGAGTTCCTTTTTACATTTCTAATGATGTTTGCCCTTTTTTAAAATCTTGCTAGGGCTTTGTCTTTTATTACTTTTCAAGTATTATCTTTTTGCTGAGGGCCATTATATTGTGTGTTTACTTCCTGTTTCATTAATCACTGTCCTTTTGTTAACCTCGTTTTGCTTTCCTTATGTTCTTTTATTGTCTGTTAAATGTCTTGCTTATTGATACTGAACTGCTTTCTCTGAAGTAGGCTTCTTGTTTCTTTCTTTATTAATTTATTTTTAAAAATATTTTATTTATTGCTGGGCGTGGTGGCACACGCCTTTAATCCCAGCACTTGGGAGGCTGAGGCAGGCAGATCTCTGTGAGTTCAAGGCCAGCCTGGTCTACAAAGTGAGTTCCAGGACAGCTGGGGCTACAGGGAGACCCTTTCTCAAAAAGACAAAAAAAAAAAAACAAAACATACATATATTATTTTTATTTTATATATGTAAGTGTATTGCCTGCATGTATATAAGTGCATGCATGGAGTGCCCATGGAGGTCAGAAGAGGGCATCAGATCCTCTGGACCTGGAGTTATGGGTGACTTTTAGCTATCATGTGGATGTTGGAAACTGAATCTGGGAGTGCTCTTAATTAAGAGCCAGTGCTCTTAATTGCTGAGCATCTCTCCAGCTCCTCATTTTGTTTTATTATGTAGCCCAAGCTGTCCTCACACTTGCCCACCATCCTGTCTAAGCCTCCAGCTGCTGGGATTACAAACATGAGCCACCATGCCATGCTTAAAATAAGCATTTAAATCATGATAACATCACAGGTTTTGATATGAGGTACTTTTACTATTTGTAGTTCTAGATGTATTCTTATTTTTATTGACTTTTCAGTTAAAATATGATTTTTACATTTCCAGATGAATAGAATTTCTGGTTATCTTTTTTTATGTTAAACTTAGTTGTCCACAAAATGGGATCTATATTATTATGGCATGGAATTTGTTGCCAAAGTTTTTGTCTTCTTGAGACAAGGGTCTCTGTATAGCCCCAGCTGTCCTGGAACTCACTACGTAGACCAGGCTGGCCTTGAACTCACAGAGATCCGCCTGCCTCTGCCTCCCAAATGCTGGGACTACAGGCGTGTGCCACCACACCTGGCAAAACAACATTTTTTTTTTTTTTTGGTCTTTTTGAGACAGGGTCTCCCTATAGCCCCAGCTGCCCTGAGTCCTGGGATTAAAGGCGTGTGCCACCATGCCCAGCACTGTTGCCAAAGTTTTGATTTGCCTTTGAACAGTTTTTTTAAGTGGTCCCATGTGCTTGAAAATATTACATATTTTCGATTACTTGGAGCAGTGTTTATATATGTGTAGATTTATATCCTACTTTTTTTTAGTCTTTGAGACAGGGTCTCCCAGTAGCCCACCAACTGGTCTAGAACTCACAGAGATCCACCTGCGTCTGCCTCCTGAGTACTAGGATTAAAGGTGTGCACCACCATGCCTAGCTATATCCTACTTTTTAAAAATCTCTAATTAAAATTATATATAGCTTCCATCTTTGTTTTGAGGTTACATACTCTGTACTTCAAAGGCTCATTCATTGACGTTTAAGTTCCTTAAAGGGCCTGAAAATACCTTGACACTGATAACCATTTCCCAACCTACAACCCTAGCCTCTCTTTATAAGTTTTTAAAACATATTATCTGTGAGTGTGCTGCCCCCCACCCCATTGCAGAGGACAGCTTTTTTGGGACTGGTTCTCTCCTTCCACCTTTGCAAGGGTTCTGGGGATCAATTTCTAGTCACCAGGCTAATGTGGCAAAGGCCTTTATTCACTGAGCCATCTCAGTAGCCCACCAGCCTCTTTTTTATACTCTTATTTTTTATTTTTATTTATGTGTATGAGTGTATTGCCTGCATATGTGTAACTGCGCCTGTGTTGTGCAGTGCATGCAGAGGTCAGAAGAAAACATCCTCATCCTATCCCCTGGAGCTAGAGTTATGGACGGTTTGTAGCCGCCATGTGGGTGCTGGGAATCAAACCTGGGTCCTTGTAAGAGCGGTCAGTGTTCTTAAACACTGAGCTATTTTTCCAGCACTTTTTAATACTCTTTATTTTGAGATAGGGTCTTATTAAATTGCCCAGGTTGGCTTTGAACTCACTCTGAGGCCCAGGTTTTGAGTTTATGGTCTCCTGCCTCATTCAGCCAAGTAGCTAGAATTTACAGGCCTGAGCCATCCACCCTAGCTTGTTGTTTGTTTTGATTTCTCCCAAATTTTGCTAGCTATCTTTTCTTCTCTCCATTACTCTGTCTGATGATGCATCCTACAGAAGTTCTTTCAGGTGAAGTTAGATAAGGATGCTGGAGTGGTAAAAGTGCATTCAAGGGCTGGAGAGATGGCTCAGTAGTTATGAATGCTGGCTACTTCTGCAGAGGACCCAGGTTTGATTCCCAGCACCCATGTGGTGGCTGGCAGCCATCTGTAACTCCATTTCCAGGGGATTTGATGCCCTCTTCTGATCTCCACGGGCACTGTAGGACATGGGTACACTTACATACATGTAGGCAATGCACTCATACACAAAGAATAAAAATAGTAAATAAAGTATATATATATACATATATATATTAAGTGCATCTAAGATGCTATTTCAGTGTCTTTCGGCTTCTACTATTGCTGTTGTAAAGTTAGCTATCATACCATTTTTATTTCATATTTCATATTTGATTGGTTTTATATTTAATTAATTTTATTTAGAAAGACTTAATGTAAATGGTAGTTTTATTATGAAATGAATGACTGGATATATATTTACATTTCATGGTATCTATCTTGCTGAAAATTGTTTGGGTTCCGTGGATCTGAGGATTGGTATTTTCCTATAGTTTTGGCATTTTGCAATTCTCTACCATCATCTCTTCAGATACTAGTTCTTCCTACTTGGCTGTTAACTTTTTCTGGAACTCCCATGGAAAGCATGCTAGGTCTTTTTGTGGGCCTTGAACTTGCTCTGTCACTTAGCTATATCTCCAGGCACCATTAATCTTTTCATGTCTCTAAATCTCTCTTACCAATTTTGTATTTTTCTTCCTATCCTGCATTCTAAATTATTTCATCTACCTACTGCACTGATTTCTTTAGTTGCCTCTAATCTGATTGATTATGTATGTTGGGATTTTAATTTCATTAGTGTTCACTATTTTATCTTTTACCTCCCTTATTGTCATTATGGATGCCATACCTGTGTTTCATAACAATTTCATTTTCCATGCAGTTTTAATAATCTGAAACTATTTGAAACTGAATGAGGATGTGGTATTGCTTAGACTATTTGGTTTTGCTTCTGTTAGCTACTGGGTAACATGTTAAATCAAATTCTCTGCTTTAGATTTTTTAGAACACATGAATTCAGGCCACACACTTGTATGAGAGTTGATCTATCTTTAGGTTTTTCAGGTGTGTTTCTTTTCTTTTTCCTGCTACTTAACACTAAACC